GTTGTCTCAAACAACAAGTTAAGGCTCCCAAAGTTGTTCGCCCGGACAGAACAGAGAGCTTATAGCCACGTCAACAAAAATGGTCGGTCGAAAACTGTACATTAAACTCACCGCACATTCACGCTGCTGATCGAACTCAGCATCAAACGCTAGAGAAACGGATCGGAAGGATTCAACTGGGAAAGGAAGATGCATTAATTTGAAACTTTTCTTGGGGATATGCATCGAAGTAAAATCAGAGCAATAACCTAGGGAAAAGGGTAGCCTCAACTATAAAAATGCAGCAAATGCAAAAGCATACCGTTGTGGTAATGTGAAGGATGTGAGGGAGTTTCACAAGTGAGATAGACAGCACATTAAGAACGCATAAACGCAATCCATAATGCAAGCTTAGAGCGACTGAGAAAGACTTAAAAGGCTGGACAATATGAGCCCTTTTCTTGTTATAAAAAAACTGAACCCATGTGTACGATTACAAGTTTATGAGTACGACCAATTTTCCAAAGTAGTTATTAAACAATCAAAATTTCCTAGAGCATGTAATCGCAAACGCTGCGCACGAACTGAAGGAGTCACAAATATAGCATTTTTATGTCAAAGACATCCTTGTTGGAATGAAATTTCGGAAAAACTTTGAGTACGATGATAGTGATTTGATTTTTCATAGAAGTGAACTTTGAAACGGAGAAAAATGCGAGTCGACTTTTATGGGAAATTCTTTGAAGCCATAAAAATTCGACAGTACACACCGTTTTCGGCGCGAGGATGCAGATCTCCTGACTGAGACAGTAATGGGATTTGCGTGTGCTTGAACTGAGGCCAATAGCTTGGGTAAAGAGGACGAGGAGGCAGAAGAGGGATCAAGAGGCCTGGGGACAGGCATTTTTGTTGGTGTGAGGTTGAGATGCTGAATGGCCGCCGGGCCGGGAGATTGGAGGGCGTGACCGGCTAGTTTGCACCAGCCGCAGGGAAAGAGGTCACGCGAGTCATACCGCGTCCAGTAGTCAAAATTTCCTGACCAGCCGTCGAAAGAGACGAGCACATGGAGACCGGAGACCTCACCTATGGTGGCTGGACAGATGAGCTGCGCATTATGACGATCAACCGCTTCCAATTTGTCACCCTTTTTGAAAAGATTTCTTTCGGGATCAGGCGGAGGCTACAATGAAGGGTTTGGAGAGCTTTCAAATTTTTCAAGCCCATTCTCCATTTGACTGGCTGAATGGTTCCACGTACGCAAAGCCTCGTGCTCCCGACCCATTCTTAAATTAATCACTAAGGCGGATGACAGGTATTACAACACATCAAAAAGATCAAAGAGTGAAAAAGTAGTTTCATAAAATTTGTTCAAAGGATGACTTTAGCAATAAAAGCACATAATTAAATTTTCCAGGCCTCAGGCAGTGCACTATTGGCCTTAAATCAACGTGAAATTAATTTAAAAAACCGCACATTTTCAGAATTTTACTGAGGTTTGTCTGCTACCATACTTTCAGATTGTGAGTGAGAGTGAGTAATCAAGACAAAAAACGTACTCGGTAAGGTTAATGAATATTGAAAGCGAAAAAGTCGTGTGAAATGTCGATGGGAATGAAAATACAATTGCTACTCATA